TCGTAAGGGGCCCATTTTACAGACGTGGAAACTGAGGCACGGTGAGGTTAAGTAATGTGCTCCAAGGAGAAAGCAAAGAAGTGGATGAGGTGGGGCTCAGCCCCAAGTCCTCGGGCTGCAGAGCCTGCAAAGGCAAGAAGGACAGTGACAGACGCAATAAGTGAAAGGCGAGGCCCTTTTTCTCACGGAACTTAAAATTAATTGAGAAGACGAGACCAGGAGTTCCCAGATGGCTGTCTGCCCACAATGCCACAGGATGGCATAAAGTTTTTTTCACCAGTTCATGAAGAAATGAAAATAAGGGGGTGCCTGGGTGGCTCAGTGGGTTAAAGCCTCTGCCTTCAGCTCAGGTCATGATCCCAGGGTCCTGGGATGGAGCACTGCGTCGGGATCTCTGCTCTGCGGGGACCCTGCTTCCTCCTTTCTCCCTCTCTGCCTGCCTCTCTACCTACTTGTGATCTCTGTCAAATAAATAAAATCTAAAAAAAAAAAAAAAAAAAAGAAATGAAAATAAGGATAAAGAAATATTTACCACGTAAGCTGTCTTGATATGGTCAAGGCGGTCCTGGGTTGTTTTTAGGAAAGAGATCATTATATTTATTTACATGGTACAAAATTCAAGAGACAGTGGGAGCACAGGGGAGCACGACTTCCTGTCAGCTCTGTCCCTCAGTCACCCAGTGCCTCTCCCTGGACACAACAACCTCTAGAAGATTCCGTGGATCAGGATATTTCCTTACATGAAATTCTGTCTTTACTCTCTTGGGTATTCAAATGCCCTTTCATTTATGGAATGATAAAGATGGTTGATGATGGCATTGTTTTTAATGTCCTGACAAGAGAAAGGAAGAAAGGGGAGGAAGGGAAGAAGGAGGCAGGAGAAGTGGAAAGAGAAAAGCTGTCAGCTCCATATTCATTTACATATTTTAACTCTAAATATATTTTAACAAGATGACTAAATGGACATTGTGTGAACTCATGCAGGTAGCTCTGGGCTTGGGTCAGAAATTTGAGTTCTCTGGTCTGTCCCTTCTGAAATGGGTGGTGGCTCCAGAAAAGACCCTGCCCCTTGGCCTCTGTGGCTGTCCACAGAGAGACAAAACAGCCTGCATTTCAGGGGCAGAGAGAGAGGGAGGCAGGAGTCTGGGGAGAGAGGCCCTGCTGGGGCAGGGGGAGACCCATCTTTGGAAGAAGACTCAGGACATAGGACACCCCTAGGAAGCAAAGGGGCAGAAGCGGGAATGCACAGCCCCCCACGGGCAGAGTGAGAGCAGGGGGAATGGGCCTGGGGCAGAAGGCAGGCCCGAGGAGGGGTCCCAGAACACCGTGCAGAGGGAACAGCACAGCTGACCCACAGGCACTCTGCAAAGCCCTGGAGGGATGGGAACCGGCTTAGAAGGGAAATGAGTCCCCGGAAGTCTGCAAGGGGCTGTTCCCCCCACAGGGGATGCCTCCTGATGGCTCTTATCGGGTAGCTGCTGCTGCTGTCGCCTGCCCTGGGGCCCCTCGGCCCCCACCACCCCTCTTGGGGCTGCTCCAGAGGAAAGCTATCTGGGGGAAGCAGAAGACAACCAGTGAGAGTAAATTTAGTACAATTTAAACAGCAACTTTCTAAGCCCAGCGCCCCAGGCCGAGGGGATTACTCAAGCACAGCAGGACGTGTGCCTCAGTCTACCCAGGAAGCCCCAGGAAACGGCCTGCCTGGCACCTGCCAGGGTTCCCCAAATTTCTAACAGTGCAAGAAGGAGACATCGGTCATGTGCAAAGCCAATGAAGAAGGCAGAGCTGCAGCAGGACCTGATTGCCGCTGGTCTACAGGCTGCCCTTGGTGGCATTCGGAGCTAGTGGCATTCGAAGCTGACATCCCAGACACAGCCGGCTTGTAGGCTAACCATACCAGTCTAAAACAACACCCCTTGGCCCAGCCCGGCTTCCCTGTCCCCAAACTGCTCTCCCTGAAGCCACAGGCCAACAGGGCCCATGATGTTCCCCAGGGAAAATTTTCCCAGAGGCCAAGACTGCTGACTGCGGGGTTGTTAAAACAAAGACCTTAAGTTGCTATGTTGACTGTCATCTTTAAATAAAAACTTGGGCCCAGCAATAAATCAAAAACTGGTCCCAAGGGTTTAATGGGCTAGTGTACAACCGGCCCCCGGGGGGAGAGCCAAGCCTGCCTGGCAGGATGGGGATTCCCCCCACGGATCGCCCCTTGATCTGCTCGCAGAGGGAAAACTGTGGCTTCGGCTTTGCTTTCCGGGGGAGCAGCACCACAACTACCACCGACGGTGTGAGTCCGTGTGGGGGGCGAGGGGGTGGACAGACAGACTTCAGTGGCACAAGAATCAACTAAGGCATTTGTTGAAAATGCAGCTTATTCTCCCCCCACCTCGGGTCCCCAAGGTGGAATCAGTGGGTCCAGGGTGTGGCCTGGAAAGCTGCATTTTATCCACGGCCTTCGCATCCCCGGCGGGTTCACGAACATACTTTGAGAAATCCCCTTAAGGAAAATAAGGGAGTCCCACTTTGAACCTTGGAATTAGGGGTTAGGAACTCCAAACTCAGAGCTTGAAGACATGGTCTCCGGTAAGTTTTTGCTGAAAAGCAGGAAAAGCCTATACAATAGAAGGTTCTGGGAGCCAGGACTGAAACTGGGTCTGTATCAGGGGACTGCAGGGCTGGATCCAGCACTTGTGGGGCTGGAAGCTTATACAATTTGGAGAGCCAGTTTAAGGAAAATAATTCAAAGTTACCAAGTCAAAATGCAGTACAGGGTCCCACGGATCTCTTGGCAAGCTTCCCAGTACCTCTGCCTCGGGGCCCACATGCCCTTTCTCACTTGACTCCTTCTTGTCGCACTGCTGTATGGTGATGCCCAAAGGGCAGGGCCTCATTTGCCCTTTCCCATCAGTGGGGTACACTCTAAACCTAAAGATCCATTGTTGTTTGGGTTCTCAGCGGCCAGGCACCCCATGCCAATCCATGGTGCTTAACTACTAATCTTTCTATCTGTCACCTAATCTCATGTTGTAAGGCTGAAAAATGATGGCCGCAAAAGAGGTACGCTCCACTAGTGTCTCTAAATTGCCCCAGTCTTTCTGGGGTACAACCCTCATCCCTATAACACCCCCCAAACCAGGGATACCCCCAAATGATGCGAAGCAATGAATACCCAGGCAGAGGTGTTCAGAACAGCTCTGTTTATAACATGAAAGGGGGGAAACTGATCATTATTCCTCACGTATTACATGCCAGACATTGTACTAGAGACCTCGTATGTTGTGTGTTTAATCCCAAGACTCTATGAAACCCACTTTACAGATGGGAAAACAGATGCAGAGGTGTGCCAGGAAACCAGCTCTCCTAGATAAAAAAAAGGTTTAATCTGCAGTCTTTGCCCATTTCCATGGTAAAAGTATCCACCAACAGCCAATTTCAAGCTATCTGTGATTTGGCACCCAGTTCTCAAATTTCCCAATAATTTAGCAATTGGCTCAGAGGTCAAGTAACTTGCTCAGGTCACTGAATGATAGAGTCAAGGTGGGAACCAGGAGCTGAGCTGGAGTCCAGGCTCTGCCTACTGCACCACAGGCCTGTGCAGAAGCACCAACAGGGAACAGCTAAAAGGAACATCCCCAAAGGAATCCTTGGACCCACAGACAACCCAGAAAGAAGTACAAGCCCACTGACACCCATACGAACTCTTTACAATAACCCTGTGAAGTCCTACTTTACTAAGGGTGTCCTGAATATTAAATGCAATGATTTGCATAAGGTAATGGACAGGAAACCAGCTCCGTTCAAGGGCTCAAAGAGGGATAGCTGTTTTATTCCCACTCTGCAGAACCTCATTTGCACGCGACACGAAGTTTTTACAACAGTGGAGGTGGGATTTGGTCCCAGGGGTCTGGTTCACCCGCCCACCCAGTCCCTCCTCTTAACTGCACTGTCCCTCATAAAATAGGATATTCAGTGAAAACAGGACCCACCAACATGTTCAGACTCTTAGCACTAAAGCAGCCACCGTCAGAGTGGGAGGTAGCAGAAAAGCCTCTGAACTCCAGTCGGGCCAACCTGGCTTTCAAAGGTTCTCCATCCCCCCTAACTGGTTACCTAACAGCTCCTAGCTTCGGTTCCCTCTTCTGGAAAGTAGCCTTAACAGTACCTGTTTCACAAGGGCGCCCCTAAGGGTGGAGAGAGAACGCAGAACTGGGTGAACAGAGACCTGCGCCCACATTAAGAGCTCAAAGGAGCACAGCCGTAACTGTGAACGAAAAGGGTAAGGCGGTTGGCATCAAAGGCATGGTCTCATTTTCACCGTGGATTCTCTGTCCTATCAAATCCCTGCAAACTGTGGCTCAGTCTGGTCCACTGTGGCAGCCAGGGCAAGTCCACGGTAATGTCAGCGCTCCCCTGGAGCGAACTACAGCCTTCTCTCCACCATAGTGTTCACCCTCCTCGGCGGCCCCACATTTCGGCTCCGCAGCGCAGAAATGAAGGCGCTGGGCAGCCCGGGTCCCGCTGCCAGTCCGATGCTTGGGGTCCAGCCCTGCCACCTCCGGGTGCCTCGCGGGCATCATTCGCACCAACGCCCGCAGCGGAGAGAGACGGAGAACTCCCCAAGGGAAGGGACCCGTGCGACTTTCCGCTTTCGGATCTGGAGCCCATACTCCCTCCAAAGTTTGGGGGTGCATGGGATCTCCTTTCTTTTCCCAGACCATCACTAAAAAGAAAACTGCTGTTGTTCTTCCTTTTGTCCAAACTTCCTCCCCGCAGCGCCGCTCGGGGATCTGCGCTCCCGCCGCCGCTGCGACCGCAGGGACGCTGGACGGAGCAACGAGCAGTGGCGCGGTCGGCGGGGACCCTCGTCGGGTGGCATCGCCGAGCCGCGCCCGAACCCAGGAGGGAGGGAAGGATGCCCGGGACCCTGGGCGGGCAGCGTCGGCCGAGGTGGCTCCTCCGGGCGCCCCGATCCCCAGCCCGCGTGCCGGGGAGCCGCTTACCTGACGGCGGCCGCTTCCTGCTGAGCCGGCTCACGGCGCGGTTAAACATCGCCGCGGTCGCCCGGGGAGGAAGGAGGAGCAGCGGGGCAGCAGAGCAGGAGAACGGAGAGGAGGGGGAGGCCGAAGAGGAGGAGCCCGCTCAGCACCGCCCCGGCGCGCCCGCCCCCGCCCCGCCCAGCCGCCCTCCCCACCGCCAGGCGCCGCGTGGCGCGCTCGGTGCCCACTGCCCGCCAGCCCCGACACGGGCCCAGCACTCCAGCCTCGGGGGCCTGGGTGGCCCAGGGCGGCCGCGAGTGACCAAACGCCGAGGCCCAGCCCCGCGCCCGGGATGGCGTGCACTGGCCTGGAAGGAGCGCGCACTGCTGCCTGTGGCTTAGGAGCCCTGCCCGGGCGCCCGCGCGCCCCGGGGGCCCCGCCGCCCAGCGGAGCTCGCCCAAGCAGCCGCCCCGGGCCCCGCCCCACCCGCCCGCCTTGCTGCTCTCCGACCATCCCGGGCTCCCGCCCTCTTCCTGCAGCCGAGAGAAACGGGTACGGCGCCGCGGGCGCAGCGCTCTCGGTGGCTCAGTGCGCCTTCGCGAGGCGGCAGGCGGGGGTCCCCTCCCGCTACACGGACTGGGAAGCCGAGGCCTCGAGGTTCTGCAAACCCAGGGTGAGGCCCATGGCCTTCGCCTCCTCGCCCCCGGGATCCAGGATCCCCACAGGCCCCGGCCTGCCCGCCCCGCGACTCCGGGGCTGCCCGGCCCTCCCATGGCGGCGAAAGCTGGTGGGGCGTCGCCAGGGTCCCGGCCGCGGGGAGCGAGCCGAGCTGCGCTGCGTGGGTGAACTTGGGCGCCTTCTCCCCAAGGCCTGGAGGCTCCAGGGGCGGGCTTAGGTGCAGTTCTGCGGGAACCCTTCGGGTTCCACTGCCGAGAGATGCCTCTGTCCCTCACAGAGACTGGTTGGGGACACTTCTCTAACTTTGGGGACACGTGGTGCAGCTTCCGGCAGGGCCTTTAGCTCAACTCTTCGGAGTCACTCAGGTCCACTTTGCGCTCCGGGCTCGATTTCTCCTCTCCCGCCACCAGTCACCTACTCGGCCCGCCGCGCCCCCCTCTATCTATTGTCTCATTTCTGAGCAAACCAGCCCCCAAAGGGGTGTCATTAGCCTCATTTTCTTGAGCTTTCGGTTTGCGAAGAATTGTCTTTCTGGCGAGTCTTATTTTTCTCCTTGTGTATCCGGCTTTGTCTCCAAATTGGTCTTTATTTTTAGCTGTGCTAATTGCTATTTTTCTAAACCGCTCCCCAGTCGTCGGGCCCTGCCACCCTCCTTTTGCAGTGTTTTCACTAGCTGGCACTTTCTTTTATATCTTCTATTCTGAGCTGCCCGTTCTGCTCATTTTTCCTCCCTTGTTCTACCCACCCGCTCAGTCCCAATTCCACCTCATCTCTGGATTTCCATGGTTGCTTCTCAGTGCTGCCCCTACCCTTGCCCTCTGAAACCCACTTTTCTCCCAGTATTTCAGAGCCTGCACTCTCCCCTTCTGCCAGGAGAGGTTTTCCTGGCTCCTGAAGATGGTGAAGAGCGTGGGGTTTTGAGCTGCGCTGCAGGACGGTCACTATGGGGACCGGGAACAAGCTCAGAACCCAGCTCAAAAGCTCAGTTTAAAAACACCTCTTCCTGTCCTGGGCCCACTCTGGGGGTGGGCTCCCCACCTGCTTCCACACCCTTGTGACCTACTGCAACCACAGGCAGCAGCTGCCCCCGCTGTAGGAGCGGGACTTGGAAACTCAGGCAGAGTCCTGGATCCAAATGAGATCGCTACTTTCTCAAAGCAATGCCAAGAGTGTCTGTGCAGCACTTCTCCCCAGAAAACCGTTCTGGAGACCAAATTACAGGTAATCCTAACACAGGAAACCAGGAGACTGGCACAGTGGGGAAGCATCAGGCATAGCTAAATATGCCAGTTGCCAGGTCCAGCCCCACAGTGTCCTGAAATGCCCTGGTGTGGCCTAAGACATACCCATGAATGCCTCCGGAGCTAAGGCAGCCAGGCTTCTCTAAAATGAGGGGAAAATAGCAGAGCTTCAAGCCACTCTCGCAGTCTTCTTAGCATATCAGATAGTGAGTTCAAAAATAAAGACCAGGGTCAAGGTTTAATGTACACAGTTTAAAATTTCTGCTTCAGAACGTTAAGAGACTGTCTCAGTAAAGTTGCTTTAAATATCTAAGTGTCTCAAGATCCAAAAGCCAGTTTTCAACAGGCACTGTGTAAAAGACCAAATATACAAATATAGAGCTTCATGGTTTCTAAAGTTTGCCAAAAGAAAACACGCACACGCACAAGCACACACACACACACACACACACACACGATTAAGTTCTGCCTGGGGTTTGCATGTGGGCTACAATGCCCACCATCCAGGCAGCATCACTCACTCTGTGTGGCTCATCTCAGGCCTTCTCAAATGATAATAACTAACCTGGACAGGGAGAGGACAGACAGGTTGGCCTCTTCCTACCCCTGTTGGTTCCATCTTTTGTTGAAAAATCTGTATTCACCCAGACCAGGAGAAAGAGCCTAGGATATCAGAGGGATCATTGACTTCAAAGTTCAATATTTTTTGTTCTACTCAAAACTTCTAAAAATTAGTGAGCTCTGAATATATTATAGAATTTCTTACACTTTATTATATATATTGTATTTTAGAGTCATTCATAAAGAATATTCTAGGCCAGTGTAAGATACAGAAGTGCCTGACTTGGAGTCAAGAGACCTGGGTACCAGTCCTGGGCATAGAGCAGCCCAGCCGAGTGTCTTCAAACAGCCTTACGGGACTGGACAAGGAAAGGACGCTGCCCACATTCTAAGGGTGTGGTGTTTGCCAGCAATAAACATGAAAGCCACCTGGCAAGGTGCCCTGCACATGTAGGCTCACAAAAATTTACTGGAATCTGAATTGCTCTTGTGCCCCCTTACAGTGCTGCTTAAATAAACTTTATCCTATGTGCAGTGAGAAGTGGCATTTTTAAAAGAAAATATGAGGAATCTGCAGGGGGTTGGGAACAGTGACGCAACTGACAGGCACAGAGAAAGGAAGAAAGTAAATTGTTACAACCTCTTCAGAAGGCAAGAGAGGCAGGTATGTTAAGATACATTTTTGGCAACATGTATAAAAGCTTTCAAAATGTTTATACCCACCTGACCAGTGAATACTTCCACAACTAGTAATTTATCCCAAAGAAAGACTAAGAGAGGCAAACATTTCTGGGTACTGTTGAACATCCTAACTCTTCTTTCATGGGTGCTGTTTATAATTCTATACGTACTCATTAATGGAGTGACTAAGGGACAAAATATTCCTATGATGGGATATTTACAGTTGTAAGAACTGATTTTTTTTTTCTTTGAAAAAAGTCAGGATACAGATATACAGAAATTTTTCAGTGGGCAAGGAGAGGAAATATAGTTGATTTATGTATAGAAATCTTGCAGAAAACTATACCAAAATGTTACTAGCATTTGTGTCTAGATGGGATAAGCGGTGGTTTTAATTTTCATTATTACATTTTCCAGTTTTGCAAAATTTCTGTGGTGTATATACTCTTAAATCAGTGGGAAAAAATCAGTGGTTGGAAACTGGTCAAAATCTCTATGGGGTTTAATCTACCAATATATATTTTTTAAGATTTTATTTATTTATTTGACAGACAGAAATCACAAGTAGGCAGAGAGAGAGGAGGAAGCAGACTCCCGCTGAGCAGAAAGCCCAATGTGGGGCTCGATCCCAGGACTCTGGGATCATGACCTGAGCCGAAAGCAGAGGCTTTAACCCACTGAGCCACCCAGGTGCCCCTAACCTACCAATATTTAAACCCACATTTTTACAACATGAGTTTTGCTGTCTTTAAACTCTGCATTTCCATGGAGGGAGCAAGCAGACACCAATGGACTTTCCCATCTTTGATCTCCCTTGCACTTCAATTCACACATTCATGGCATAGCACAGCCAGAGGTCAGCAGTACCCTGCAGAGGAGGAGACAGGCCTGGGACGCCTGGGTGGCTCAGTCAGTTAAGCATCTGCCTTCAGCTCAGGTCATGATCCCAGGGTCCTGGGATGGAGCCCCGAATGGAAGCAGGGCTCCCTGCTCTGTGGGGAGCCTGCTTCTCCCTCTCCCTTTGCCTGCCACCCTCCTCCCCCACCCCAACCCTCTGTGTGCTCTCTTTCTCTGTCAAATAAATAATTTTTTTTTTTTAAAGAAAGAAAGAAAAGAAACTGAGGCCCAGAGAACTTTGGAGACAATGTGCTACTAGGTCTCCTGAGATATTTGAGCCCGTTCTCCACCCGCCCCCTGCCGCCTCTTGAACCCCTCTCTTAGTTTTCTTTCTGCCACATTTGCTACCCCCCCCAACCCCTTCTTCATACAAGTGAGCACTGCACACTCAGTCTTTGGAGCTCTTCTTTTGCACACTTACTCCCCTGACCATCTCAAGTCTAATGACTTTTTATACCATTTTTAAAAAATAGACTTTTTAAAAATTTTTATTTATTTGACAGCGAGAGAAATCACAAGTAGGCAGAGAGAGGAGGAAGCAGGCTCCCTGCTGAGCAGAGAGTCCAATGCGGGGCTTGATCCCAGGGTCCTGGGATCATGACCTGAGCCAAAGGCAGAGGCTTTAACCCACTGAGCCACCTAGGCGCCCCAAAAATAGACTTTTTTTGAGCAGTTTTAGGTTTATAGTAAAATTAAACAGAACATACAGAAGAATTCCCATGTGCTTCTTGTCCCCCAACATGCACAGCCCCCCACAGCCATCTCCCCCCAGAGGGGTACGTTTGTTACAACTGGTGGACCTATATGACACAACAGTCCCCCAAGTCCATATGAAATCCCATCTTGACACTGCAGAACACGCTTCCTTCTCCAGCCGGGACTGGCCTGCCTGCCATCTTCTCTCGGATGCCTGGTGGCACCTTCGAACTGAGCGTGTCCGGAGCGGAGCCTCCGCGGCTGGCCCATGCCGGCTCCCTCCAGCCTTCTCCTCTGTTCCGGGCGGCTCCACGTCTCAGCGGCTTAGACTAATCATCTGGGAGTCGTTTCTGATCATTGTT